CTATCGATCGCAGGCAAGACCGACAAAGCTCCCTCGAACCTGTTCAAGTCATCTTCAAACTTTTGTTTTGTTTTAAACGCTGAAAACAAATTAAGCTCAGAATGTGTCGCCTGTCACGACGCCACGTATCTCTCTCTCTCTTTTTTGTTTAGTTGAGAAGAACAACAAAAATCTAGTGAAATTAAATTCCTTTAGTTTTTTTTGTCAAATATTCGCCGATCCACAGAATCCCACAAAAACCACAGCAACAAATTTCGCGGTCACTCTCGGCCTCGTCGTCAATCGTCAGCGCCGACCACGCGCCCGCCGGCAGCCGCCACCGACAGATTCCTGCAGTCACGAAAGCTTCAAATCAAGACAGATTCTTCTTCATTTTTATTCAAGTCGTTTTTTTTTCTTTCCCCTTATTTTTTAGTTTTACACAAACCACGGCGCGAGCCGACGGAACGCAGCGACAGCTTTAAACATTTTCTAGATGAAGGCCAAACGTTTCCTCCCATCAGGAAGGTTTTTTTTCCCCCCGGCTTTCCGGTACTTTCATTTCGCTTGAAGTTCGAGGCAGCTGGACAAGCCGAACGGTCAACGCCGGCACCCTCTGTCTGCCGGGTGCGCGGCTTTGAATCCAACCTTGGGGCCTTGATAAAATACAACAATAAATACCATTACTACCTGAAGTAGAACATGCGCTTTCTGCTCGATCATTAAAAGCAAACACTTCTTTCGCACAGCACGTAGCCAACCGTGCTAATCGGAGGCGCATTAAACGCTTCAATGTTTCATCCACTGAGCTATCAAGATCAGGAACATATCAAGGCTACGGCCGTTGTTGGTTGGATGCCACCAACACGACCCAACGCTCTCTCCCCTGCCGCCTGATCCCGCAACCGCCTACGCAGTGGATGCACGGCCACCCTCTGCGATCTCCCGTCGCGGTATCACCCCGCTCGCCATCTCGCCCGAGGGATTCTACTTCCTCCCCCCTTCCCCCCCTTGTCCCTGGACTCGTGGGGACCGCTCCCAATGGCTGTCTTGGTAGCCGGGCCTCCCTCCATCCTGCAAGGCGCGACCTAACCAGGTTAAAAGTGTCGACGCTTTAGGTCTGTGGCAGGGGGGTGGTCATGATAGCTCTCGTCAATGTGGTCGAATATGAATGGAGTATAATATGAATGAATATGAATGAAGTATAATGTTGCGTTGTTCTGAGAGGGCCTTGCCCTGAGAGCGATCCATAAGAAAATAATATTAAAGGGTTTCACACAACTTGGTAATATCAAACAACATTGGGTTACAAAAATAGCTCCACGAATTTGTCTTCATTTCATATCGTGAAGGGTGTGTGCTATGAAGAAGAGCCATTGGTAAAAATGTTGTCTGTTATTAATAGATATTTTCTTCTTCTAAGGCCACGGTGTTGTTGCTAAATGCGTTCAGATGTGTTTACATTTCACCGAATGAAATCATTACGGGTACACACGCGTTACAGAATGCACACACGTGCATGATTTTACTTCCTTATTTGGATTGTTTTTTTAAATGAGCTTCGAGACTCAGTGAAGCCTTCCTGGGTAAACAAACGTCAACAGCAACAATAACACACAACAACAACAGCAATGACGTCTCTCCACCAAACAACCGCGGACGACTTTCGCACAGCAAGGCGAACCTTCGAACGGGAGGGGTCAGCCCGCAAAGTCGGCGTTACGCCATCGACGCTGCCGCGCGCGTGGCTGCGGTGAGAGACACGGACCTTGATAGAGCGACAGACTGGGCCACATCAACATCGTCGTTATTATCATCATCACGCGCTATGGTCTCTCCACTGCTGGCCATATCATGAGCCCAATGCAGGACAAGAAGTCGGTAAATAATGGTTCGTGAAGATGGCAATGATTTTTTTGGATCGTAATGATCATGACGACTCACGGTGATAATTGATCATGAATTCGATGATTTATGATGGAGATGACCATGGGGATAACCGCGGTAGATGCGAGACAAACGTTTGCTATGGGGAAATAGGAAAGTTGTGACCCATGGAATTAATTTACTCGATTTGTCTGCGGGCCACGTGTGAAAGCCGGAGGCGTTCTCACAAAAAAAAAACCTTGCTCAGATGATCACGAACATTTGTCCGAGATCGGTAAGGAATTTCGCGGGGTAGATATATATTTTTTAATTCTTCAAATGCAAATGTGGCTGCCACATTGGTGACCTCTCACTTGACTCCTGTCAATCACTCCGCCCTTTCATTTTCAGCCAAAAACAATTATGAGCAGCAAAAACACAATTAAAAAAAATGAACGGTGGCTTTATTGGGGGGTTTTTTTCCCCCAGAAAGTGAAAGGCCCCAATAGTCAAGTGTTTTTAGTTAATACAACACATACGCTAGTTCTAGTGAAGCTAGTTGGCCTGCAACCGCATCTCTACCGATAAAGCTGTAATGCTGCTGTCGCATACGTTTGATTATATGCCATTACAATAACAATAGGCCACACTCCTTGCTCCAGAGCCCCATCGCTTCTTGATTACACCCCTCGGCTATCTTCCTCTTTCGACCCTGTGCCTTTCCTTTTTAGGCCACGCCTTTTCTTCTAAGGCTCCGCCTCTTCCTGTTTAGGCCGCTCCCCTTCCTCCAACACGGGGGGGGGGGGGTTGGATGGTGTTTGGGGTTGTGTAATGTAGGGGGGGGTGTGCACAGCAGTGGTGGTGATGGGTGGGATCTGCGGCTATGAGTGGGTGGGGTCAGAGGTGAGGAGTGGGTGGAGTCAGTGGCTAGGGGTTGGTGGGATCAGTATAAATACGCTTGATTGCACGAGTTGGGGGGTGGGGGAAGGAAATAAAAACCTGACGTAGCAGAACGTCCCCCGGCCATTGAGACTCCTCATAGGCAAGATTCGACTCGATGACGTTGAGAGATGCTGGATGCTGATATTTGGCTCGTCAGCAATGCTCGCCAAAACCAAAACGAAAACATAAAACCAGAAATAAACTACAGTATTCTCCAGGCGCGTTTTCACGGAACCGCCACCAGATTTACTCACGAATGTTATTGCCGTTGCTTTATATTGCAAAAAGCTCAATGTTATTTCTCAGTACCGCCGTGTGATTAACAACGCCAAGTTTGATAGTTTGCAGTGGACCTCTTAATCCCCTCCCCGCTTGTTATGGGATTCTAAACTGTCGTCGATTAACGCATCTCCAAGTGTGGACCTCACAGGGACCGTCTCTGTCCCGGGAGATACCCCGCAGGAACTTTGGGCCATCCAAAACAATCTCCTCATTCAGTCCTCTTGTGCACATATATAATAATAATAAAATACAACACAGCAATGAAAGCTACACACAACAACAAAAATGAAAGGGTGCCTTTGTGGGTCTCCTGGGCGTCATCTTGACAGGGAGCCAGAAGACAGATTCAAACAGAGCCATCCTTCTGTCATAGTCGAACAACAACGGCAGCCCACCCCTAGACATCGCCATGTTGCCTCCCTTTACCCGATGAGTTATTGGGTCCAGCTCGTAGGCTTCGTCCTCCCCCTCCTCCACGAAACCCATCCTTCTTTACATATTTCACATCGCACTTCATGCTTTGATGGAAATAACGATGATGACAATGCAATTGTAGCAAGTACAAAGATCCCACCTTCACCCGTATAGCCTGTAACAGACCGTTGGGGCACGTGCTGTTCGCGCCTACGATGGCCAGCGCGACACACGAGGGGGGCTGGTGGCCAGCGCCACGCCCGGCCGCCTTTGCCTCCCCAGTGGCGATGTTTACTACATACCAAGGCTGAGTCGACCACGGAGAGGCCCAGGACCGGTTCAGATATTCGTCACGGGCGTTGGTGGCGACGAGCGGGAACCCCAACTAGGGTCAGCGTAGCCCGGGGTTCGTGGCGCCGCTCGGCGTCACAGACGTGAGCGTGCGACGGCGATTCCAAGACGCGGAGCCAGGAGCAGGGTCGCTCGAGAGGCAGGCGAGATGAGAGCTGGGACTGCAAGAACGAGGTGTGGGGGCCCTTTAAAAGTCGGTGTGCATTGAACGGCGCCACTGCCACTGTGAATGTGCAGCAGCGGAACGACGACGATGGCCACGTGCAAGACTGCCACGGAGAAAGGGCGTCGGGCAGTGGCTGTGGGTCAGAGGTCGCAACCGGGTACCCGATACCCATACCCTACCCGATACCCGGCTACCCGTACCCGGCCGGGTACGGGTACGGGTAGGCCGTGAGTCACTGGGGAGTAGCCGTTTGTCACTCATTTCGGGTAGGGTACGGGTACGGGTAGGGAACGGCGACTTGTACCCGGCCGGGTACGGGTATGGGTACCCATTTGCGACCCTGGTGCGGCCGGGTACGGGTAAGGAATTAAAACCCGTTTGCGACCTCTGCTGTGGGTCCATAATCCCCGGTGTAGAAATGCCCGCGCCGCCTGCCGTGATGTCGGAAATGGCATGAGTCGCTCGTCGTTGACCTCCTTGGCGATGAGGTGCAGGGGTAGCGTGGCGTGTAGGGGGGGGCTCTCCTCCTCGAAGCTGAAGACGACCAAGAAGCGCACGGATGAAGAACGTACCGCGTGGCTCTGCAATGCGCGTGGGGATTACCACGGTGGCGAGATGTGTTAACTACCTCGCCTGGTGTGCAGGAGGTCGTGGGTTCGATCTCACCTGCTGTATATTTGGAGTTTGCGTGATCTCTCTCCCCGTGGTCACGTCGATTTTTCTCCGGGTCCTTCGGTTTTTACCCTTCACATTTAGAATCAACGTGCGCTGAGATAATTTGGCTGCTATAATCTTCCACATGATAAGCCACTTCGTTGTGCTATCATTGTTGGCCACTTTGCTTCTGAAAAAGAGCTGTATAGCACAGTGTGCCTTACCTGGTAAAACTTTTAAACAATTGTTTCGTTTCATAAAATAGTTTAGTTTAATGGTTTTGCTTTAGTGAACCTAACATGTTTTTAAATTCAAGTTAAAAATGAACAATACACAAAGCTGTTATAGAAATTTAATGACATAAAACTTACAGCAGAGGAAAATTAGTATTTTTTTTATCTGAGATAGAACAGCAACAAAAACATCTGAATTCCCTTTATTTCAGAACGTTATAATGTACACTTAGGTAACGGATGGCCAAGCTACAAAGCATCATGGGAACTATCCATAACAACATGCGTACATACACAAGCACAGGCTAGTGGCCTAGCGGGTAGCCTATGTTGAGTGATGATAAAGGATTATCACAGCCGTATGAACGCAGCTCCTTGTCTATGAGACATCATCAGTGTGGTATAGCCCTGCTACACTACTGACATAATGGTGCATAAGCGAGTTTAGAAGGAATAGCCCTTTGTTGCGCTTTTGTGCAATGAAAGTTCAACAAGTAACATGTTACTTTGGTGAGCATTGTGATGGCTGTGCTCTTGAAAATACAGCAGAGTCATGTCACTGGGTCATGCGTCACTGGGTCACGTGTCACTTGGTCACGCGCACTGGGGCACGCGTCACTGAGTCACGTGTCATGCGTCACTGGGTCACGTGTCACTTGGTCACACGGCACTGGGGCACGCGTCACTGAGTCACGTGTCATGTGTCACTGAGTCACGTGTCACTGGGTCACGCGTCACTGAGTCACGTGTCACGCGTCACTGAGTCACGTGTCACTGAGTCACGCGTCACTGGGGCACATTTGCATCCAGAGGGAAATGCAGATGAGGTTAATCGCACACACAGTGCCAGAAAATCACCTTGTCCGCTCATTTGATTCCCGTGTTAACCACACACACAGCTCAACGTGCAGACAGAGTCTGAACGCAGAGCCAGGATTGCATGATCAACTATTTATCTAAAGCAGTGATTCTCAACCCGTGGGGCGACCCTCCCTGGGTTGCGGCATGGATACCGTGCCGGAAACATTTTGAACGTGCGTGGGGAACGCCAGTTCAGCGCTGCGGTGACGAAACACACAAATACACAACGTGAAACGCATTCCTTGCAAAAAAAACACTAACATGCAACGTCAAATGCATGCCTTACTAAAAAACACTAATACACGTCAAACACATGCCCTATGAACACAATATACACCAATACACAACGTGAAACGCATGCCCTACTAACACAATACACACCAATACAGAACGTGAAATGCATGTCCTACTAACACAATACACACCAATACACAACGACAAACCCATGCCCTACTAACACAATACACACAAATACAGAACGTGAAACCCATGCCCTACTAACACAATACACACCAATACACAACGTGCAATGCATGCCCTACTAACACAATACACACCAATACAGAATGTGAAATGCATGCCCTATCAACACAATACACACCAATACAGAACGTGAAACCCATGCCCTACTAACACAATACACACCAATACAGAACGTGAATCGCATGCCCTACTAACACAATACACACCAATACAGAACGTGAAACCCATACCCTACTAACACAATACACACCAACACAGAACGTGAAACCCATGCCCTACTAACACAATACACACCAATACAAAACGTGAAACCCATGCCCTACTAACACAATACACACCTATACAGAACGTGAAACCCATGCCCTACTAACACAAAACACACCAATACAGAACGTGACACGCATGCCCTACTAACACAATACACACCAATACAGAACGTGAAACCCATGCCCTACTAACACAATACACACCAATACACAACGTGAAACCCATGCCCTACTAACACAATACACACCTATACAGAACGTGAAACCCATGCCCTACTAACACAAAACACACCAATACAGAACGTGAAACCCATGCCCTACTAACACAATACACACCAATACAGAACGTGAAACCCATGCCCTACTAACACAACACACACCAATACAGAACGTGAAACGCATGCCCTACTAACACAATACAAACCAATACACAACATGAAACCCATGCCCTACTAACACAACACACACCAATACAGAACGTGAAACGCATGCCCTACTAACACAATACACACCAATACAGAATGTCAAACGCATGCCCTACTAACACAATACACAACAATACAAAACGTGAAATGCATGCCGCACTGGCTAGAGACGTGGACACGCGATCTGTGTACTGCGGCCTTCGTAATCTAGGGGGCCACGTGGGGCGGTGGGGGCCATACAAAACAAGTTGTGAAGCACTGCTCCTGACCGTGCAGCGACCCTCCATGCGTGCCGACACCCCCGCACCTCCGATTAGCATGGTTGGCTACGTACAGTGCGAAAGAAGTTCAACGTACATACGTACGTACATAACAGCATGCCCTGCGGCCAGACGGGGGCCCTCAGCTGTGGCCACGCTGGTGTCATCCCCGCGACGAAAAACATGTATTTGCGATCACAGCCCCCCTTGACCTCAAACGCTCTCGCACCCCGCTACGATCGGACGTGGAATCCCACAATCCTTTGCGCTTCGTTCATGTCAAATTTCTTCTATTTCTACCGTATCGTTTTCTAATTTGTTTGTGTCCCATTAGCCTGTTACATTTGCAATATAAGTTACTGACGATTTGCATAACCCTTACAACAACAAACATTTTCACTTACACGATGTTATGCATGTGTCGCCAACGTAATGGATCGAGTTTGATCGATGACAAACCGGACCTCCCAGCCACGTGTGGAACACTATAAATGTATTTAAAACTCACGTACGCAATACTTGCACAATCCACACGAGGCTTTCTTTTCGACGTTTTAACACGACATGTAAAAAAAAACTAATAAAATAGGTACGTGCAGAGACTCGACACATGGAGAAACGTCTCTTAAATGTGGGTCCGAGCAAAAAATTTCCGCACAGCAGAGATGTGAAAAAGGCAAACGAGAGTGGTGAATATTAAACAAATGAAATATCAATAATGACAGCACCTAGTCTGTCCCCCAGGGCCGCCCAGAGGTTCCCGGAGGCCACGTGACGAAACAAACGGGCATGTTGGTGGGTCACCTCTTGTTGCGTGTGACCCGGGTCAAATCGCCGCTTTAACTTCCCCACCCACCTCCGCCACCCACCTCTGGACGGCCCTGGCTGTCGTCCCTGAATGATCTGTAGTAGTCCAGCGAGGGCAGTGCGTATCGAACAGAGCTCCGACGCTTTCGTAGCGGCTTTGGACTGACCATCAAAGAAAGACGGTTGACCGCGTTCGCTCGGCGCTTTCGGTATGCGCGTCTACGGCCGTCTGGAACGCTCGTCCTTCCGATATTAGGAAGCCACTGGAGCCATGCACTTTTAAATCGAGATTTAAAATGCATTTCTTTATATCTGATTTTTGTGTTTCGTTTGTTGTCCTTGCCCCACAACTCCGATTAGTACGGTTGGCTACGTGCGGTGCAAAAAAAGTTCAACATACGTGCATACATAGCCGATGCCCCCTTGAGAAACCATAACCCTAAAAATGTGGGAACCTTTAAAAAACACAACTTCACTAAAGTCACCGCATAATGGGCCAACTTTGAATTCCAGGGCACATGAAGAGTCCAGTCCAGGTTTTCCGCATTGCCTATGAGAGAGATCCGGCGAACGTGGCCCACGGAAGGCATAACGATGATGGGTCACAATTCCGCAGCTGCACTTCGTTCTAAACGGTACAAAACTGAACGAGCAAGATGCACGAAACAGCACGACTCGCTTACACAAAATGAACAAAAGCACAGGATCAGCAGCAGCTATTCTCTATCTACTGCCGAACAGAGGCCTCTCCAGGTTGATGCCACCACTAACCGGGCTGGGCAGCTGCAATCCGATGTTGCTATTCGTAATCTCACCTCGGTAATTTGTCGGTAATATTGCAGCGTTGGGATGTTTGGCTAATGTCAGTTAGGTTGAATGTTTTTCTGTTAGCCGTGGGAGGAAGCTGAAGCGTGCAGGAGAGGGGAAAAACGTACATACTCCCGAGTCGTGAATCGAACCCAGGCTATCACTGCGCCACCCAACCTGTCGCCCTGCCACGCTGCTTCCTTCCCCCGATGGCGAGTGGGACTCCTGAAAAACCCAGGCACTCGAAGGGGGAGGGGGGGGGCGATGGCTCAGATCCCTGACCATGGCCATCAGCCTCAGCGAAGAGCCCACCCAGTCTCAGGGCCCGAACCCAGGATCTCGGCAGTTACCAACTCGGCACCCTGTCACGGCTACCAGCTCCACAAGCCGGTCAGCCACGTATTTATTATTACTACGACTACTACTATGCTTGATTACCCAGGAAAGTCTCGCTGAGTCTCAAAGCTCATTCTCAGGCGGGGTCCTCCCCCAAGTTTCCGCAGTAGGGGAGCGAGATGCTGCTGCTGCTGATACTGCGTGTAATCCCAATTGCAACTTGCAAGTTTTTACATTTTAGCATTGCGATATTTGGCCGATACTAATTACGTTGTTTACATAAAAAAACGAAATTCCGTTGGTTCGCACCCCGTGCACGTCACGCAGAAAACCCGCACTGGATCTCAGTGCGCGATCTGTAAAACGATGGCATTGGCAGTTGGGTTGCAGAGTGTCTTTGGCACAACACCAACACACGTCTCGCAGTGGTCTCACAGACAGCGCTGGCTAAGGGGCCACTGGGCACCTAAAGCGACAACACTGTTTTCAGCCCCACATCTATTCTGCCCCATCAGCAATGTCCAAGGCCGTCTGCAGCAGAGTGTACTGCTCCCTGCGTGGCAATGGAGACAGAAAGGGCACCGATGCAGTCCAGGGCTTGAATCTGGGTCAGTGGAGGCCCCAAATGAGCTTTGGGGTCCATTGCAACGGAGCTTCCCCGGAGCAATTGGCTCCACCACTGTGACTTCTCCTTCATGTGGATGATGTTGGTGTAGAGGAACAACAATTATTTAGCATTGAGGTGGTTGAGCTAAATGACCGTGTTAGGAGTAGCGGAGTGGTCTAATTGCTGTCATGATGACGCCACCCTCCTTCATATTGGTGAATCAGGCATTGAGTCTACATGACACGTCCCATGGTTCCGTTCCCGGTGGCCACGGTCGCGCGCCACAGTGAGCGTGAGAGTCAAATTCCATTGGCCGGGACCCTCGATCTCGCTGGGGAAAGAGTAGCGGCGAAGATGGGCTTTTCGAGCTCCCATCGAACGTTGCGTGGCCAGAGCCTCGCGAACAAGAAGCGGTCCATCACCCCTCCCCGCGTCCACGCAGGACGGGGCCAAAGCCACGCGAGCGAGTGAGCGCCCGACGCTCAGTAGATGAAGGTGACGTTGTAGGTGACCTGGCGGCCGTTGTCCCAGGCGTAGATGACTTTGTCCCCGGGGTTGTAGTCGATCTGCGTGGTGTAGCCGAACTCGTTGGTGAAGGGGATGCGGATGGCCACCTGCGTGCTCGTGTGGGTGTCGTACGCATAGAACACCGTGGCGTTGCGCCGGTTGTACTCGTCGACGGCGTAGAGGACGCCGCACACCATGAAGCAGTTGCCGTAGTGGCCCCGGCGCAGGCTCGTGCGCCACGTGGTCTCGCGCTGCGTCGACAGGTCGCTCGCGTTCAGGCGGCTCAGCACGATGACGTCCTCCTGGCGGGAAGAGCAGCGCGCATCGCGATCAGCACTGCCGCGTGGATCTCGCGGGCGCGCGATGAGCACGCAGACCGCGTGAACCTCTCCACGTGCACAATACACTGTTCTAGCTTGATACGAGCTACCCCGGATAATTAAGCACTGCATGCATTGATCCCTCTCGAAGGCCCCTTTGACAACTCACTTTTTTTAAACTGCTTTTGGTGCTTAATTAAACACGTGCGCGATGGTGTAATCGTGTATATGTGGAGGACGTGGGGAGCGGTGGTGTAGCCGTTAGCACCCTGCACTACGAACCTGGCTGCCCGAGTTCGATTCCCGCTCACGGCCAACACCGGTGACCATAATCTGCACCGGTCCTGGGGCTTCCCTAGGTCGACGCGGCTTCAAAACGAGTACCTGGTGGCGGTGTGTAGAAACATCGCCACTGAGGAGACAAGGGCGGCTGGGTGTGGTGCTGGCCACCCACTGCCTCGTGTGCCGTGCCGACCTTCACAGGCGCTGCCCGCTCACAGCACTTGCCCCAACAGCCTGCTAAGACTACACGGTGGGGGGGGATGGAATCTTTGTGTTTGTGTCTTTACGCGAGGGAAGTTATTTTTGGATCGCTCCGCCCGCGCGCCCGCACGCCCGCTGCAACCGCCACCGCACCCGCGTCGTCTCGTCGTCCACCGAGGGGTAGATGACCCAGAGCCCCGTCTCGTCGGCCGCGAAGTCGATGTCCGAGTGGCCGCGCCAGCGCCAGGGCGTCGTCTCCTCGTAGACGGCGTCAGGCAGCAGGGCCCACGAGGCGAGGAGGCGTGCGCGCAGGTCGTACTTGATGATGTGGCGCGAGAAGGCGCGGTTGTAGAAGAGCGAGCCGTTGTAGATCACGTGGCCCGTGCCGATCCAGTTGTAGGGCAGCTTGTAGATGTTGCTCCAGCGGCCTGGACGGGGCGGTGGGGAGGGAGCGGTGCGGCACAACAATCACGGCGAGTTCGTTTCCACTCCCGGAGGTGCCACGTGGAGTTCTAGAGGCGGCAGAGCGAGCGGCTCATGATCCGAAGGTTTGCAAGTTCACGTCCTGGTTTTTTGATTGATTCAGTCAGGCGTCATCAACAGAGTCAACCTTTTCTTGAACAGATGCCGGTGAACTCCCAGATGTTCACAGGCATGGAGGTCCTCTCTGTTAGATGCGGGTCCTCGTTCGAAGCAAACTATTTAACACGTAATCATGAGCATCGCCGATTAGAGCACTACTCCCACTCAGCTTGAATCTGTGGTAGTACCAATTTGTTGGAAAGTCAAAAGTGGTTATCTAATGGTTCATGCTTGAACCCCCCCCCCCCCCTCCCCCCAATAGAAATGAGGAATTCCCATCAATGGCTCAGGGCTTTAAACGGGTGGCGAACCACCAATGCATCATTCTAGACGGAAATCACAAAAAGACAACGTAGAGAGGAGAGCATCGCATGCAAACGAGCGGTTTAGCTCCAAAATAGATTCAGATTTTTTGTTGTTGTTAGAATCTTGATACCCGTTGAAACTCGCCCAATTGGTCCAATCTCACCGAGCCACGTGGCGCGAGCTGTGGCACGGCCAGCATGACTAGGGCACTAAGATTCAGGGAGAGAGAGAGGGGGGGGGGGCGGGGGATAGTCTCCTGGCCACCCACCCTCCTTGAAGCTGTCGAGGCCGCGGAACTCCACGATGCTGTTCCCGTAGTAGTAGTTGGTGACGAAGATGCGCCCGTCGCTCGCCAGCGGGTCCTTCATCCAGGCGCCCTCGCTGCGCCCGTAGCTGTTGTGCTGCACGGGCGCCGCCACGGTGGACAGCGTGCCGTAGCACGCGGAGGATGGTGCTTGCGGCGGCACCGGCGGCGCGGGGGGGGGAGGAGGAGGAAACGGCGAGGTTATCGACGGCAACCCCGGGAACACGGCGCGCGTCCTTGACTTTGGCGTCGGGGTGCGCCTCGACAAAATAAGTGATGTCTTTTATGAATTCGTTCAATCGTCGCGCGCAGTCAGAAAGGGACAAGTTGCGCCAGACGTGGTGCCGCTCCTGCGACGGCGTTCGCGTTAACTGCTCTGAGCTGGCGTACTCCGGCGTCTCTGTGACCTTTTTTTAATCCACGGATCACGAGGGGGGGGAGGGCAGCGCCGTTCCTTTGAGGGTCACAGTCCGCTTCGAACGTCCACCGCCATCTAAAGTGCGTAATTAATGCCTTTCACCCGCATCGTCATAATATTAATAAGTTCATCATAATAAATCTTGTGACACGAACGGCATTCACTGCAGATGTGTGGGAGTCTCCACAACCCATAATGTGGAAGTGGTGACTCCACACTGCATCAGCACTGAGCACTGGTGGCTGTACTGTGCTGATGAGTCCTAATGAGGACGAAACCGGTCCACAGTTGTCCATCACTGCATCACTGCTGCTGTCAGTGGGGTCACGTTTGCTCAAATTTATTTCGACGGTCGTGACATAAGACAAGAGGACCACAATGCACTTCTTCGGGAAATGCTGATAGCGTTTTGCATAATGGACAGAGGTTGTGTGCTATTTACACATATCGGTGTGCTGTTTGAAACTAACAGGGACGCCATGATGGCGAGATGTTAACTACCTCGCCTCAGATATAGGAGGTCGTACGTTCGATGCCAACCCAGACGCCTTTGGAGTCTGCATTTTCTCCCCGTGATCGCGCGGATTTTTCTCCGAGTCCTCCGGTTTATCCCTCCGCATTTAGAATCAACATCACGCGTTGAGAGTGTTTGTTTGCTGTAAATTTCCACACGACGATAAGCCACTTCGTTGAGCTATCATTTGCGGCCTGGTCGCTTGTGAAAAAGAACTACACAGTTCAGTGGGGCCTTCTTACCTGGTGATATATAAACATATTTTAGTTTCAATTGAGCTCGCTGTGTGCACGCCACCAGTGGTGACGTGAACGTCACGTGCGCTCCACCTTCTGTGGTCGGTTCAGGCGGAGGCTCGGTGGTTGTGGTGGGCCGGGTCGTGGTTGTTGTGCTCTGCGTAGTGGTGGTAGTGGTGGTGGCCCTGGTGGTTGTGGTGGTGGTGGCAGCGGTGGTGGTTGGTCCGGCACTGTCGGCCACCGCTTCGTCTCTCCCGGCAGAGGCTCCCACGTAGTGGTGGTGGTGTCTCGGTTGCCCCTCTCCTCCGGCCAGCACAGTGTCTGCAGAGCAGGGGCACACAGACTAAGCAAGAACATCGTTGCGTGTGCGGAGAATTGAAATGCCAACATAGCACGGTTGGCTACGTACATACATGCATACAGAATAATTAAGCAAACAATGTATTCCACATGAGCATAAAAGGATGTTTTACATTATCCGTCATTCGCACGGCCTCCTGGTAGTGCGTCATTTCAACAGCATTGGTTCAAAACAAGCGAACTTTGAACCGGTTTTGACATGCAGTGTCTCGTCAGCAGTGTCAGGATCGTTTGAACAGATGCTGGTGAACTGCCGTATGGCACGGCCAATGAACAAGATAGTTCAATGCTACATTATGCTGTACATTATGTGGAGAAAACCTGATTTGAAGCTTTCGTGACTGCAGGAATTACTCTTTGGTTCTTTCGTTAAAGCCACGTAGAAAGAAAATAAATTAAATAATAGATAAATAAATAAAATAATTCATTTTCTTTCTACGTGGCTTTACCGAAAGAACCAAAGAGTAATTACGTGGAGAATTTAAGTGTAAGAGTGTGGGGAAGTGACCGAAAGTGTCAGTGTTTTATTTGTATGTGGACGAACAGGAGACATCTGCAAGTGCTGTCTGCAGGCAGCATGCACCACTTGCACGTGCTGTCTGCAGGCAGCATGCACCACCTGCGCGTGCTGTTTGTAGGCAGCGCACCTTTGCCGTGCTGCCGTATCTAATATTGGCTCTCAGCCTGCACGCTGCATTCTCCTGCTGCGAAGAGTTTTCTCATCAGTCACGGGACGTGTTGGATGTGAATGATCGCTGTCTCTTAGGCAAAGAGCCAATCGGGGGGGGGTGGGGGGTCTCTGGAGAAGAGAGCAGAAGCCCTCTCCACATATGGGTGCCTCCAGGCACGAGGCACGTTGATGACAGACCACAGCTGCCTTAAGCCTCCGGTAGCCCATATGTGGAGACAGGGCTTATTAGCTACACTCATACGGCGACCCCCATTGGCGCTCGCCTGCACTGATGAGCCCAAACGAGGACGAAACCAATCCACGGTCGTCTCTTTGCTTCACTGCCACCTGATGGGCAGGTCACGTTTCCAACTCTTTTTGCACTGGCGGTCCAATCGCCGACGGTCCAAGGATAATGACAGAGCAGCAGACAGGGAATGGAATGCATCACGGTGGCGAGATGTTAACTACCTCGCCTGGTATACAGAAAGGTCGTGCGTTTGACCCCGACCCTGACGATGCCTGTTGTATATTTGGAGTTTACATGTCTCTCTCCGCGTGGTGGTCGGCTACCGCTCTCAAAACAACTGAAAGGAATGTCCGTCGCCAAAGGTTGATCTGTGCGTAACCACCAAGTGTGCGCAAGGCGTTCCTCTTCAGCTGCCGCCCGTCGCTGCGTCGCGCCTATTCGTCAAAGGGGCGTTTGCCCAGAGTCCACTCGCACGCCGGGCCTCTGGCGACGATGTCGCAACAAGCTGGCCAAAAACCCACAAACTTTAACGGAGGCATTCAAAAGCAGCCGCGCTCACGCAAGCCGGTGACTCGGTCCGGTGACTCGGCTCGCGTGAGCGTTGAGGCGGCCTTCTTGGAGAGCACTCCAAGGCCTGTCTACCATGACCGGCCAACCTGCACACGCTTACTACCCCCCAGCACGTGCTTTGTTCGGCCTAAAGAAAACAAGACCGGGCTATTGGCCTCCGTGCTTAACATTCATCAGGTGTGGCATTTGCGTGAGCTTGGCAACCTTGGGTAGGTGTCAAGCGGAGTCTCGTCATGAAGACTGCGCAACGAATGGAGCTCGACTGAGCAAGTCGAAATGATTTCCTGCTCGAACAAGCACCGAGGGTCATGGTGTTCCTCTCCCATTTACAGCCCTGAGCCGGTGGTGGAAGTTCCATATTCGTATGGCGGGGATGAGTCTATCCATACGACAAATCAACTGTTGACATCCCCAAAAGTGTAACTCGTGATGAGCCGAGTCAACCGCCAACCAGGATTTGAACTCGCTAACCGTTCCGATTGCGAGCCGCTTGCTCTTCCGCCGAACGACGGCCTGGCCGGTTGAGTTGATGAAACATTGAATGCGGCCTTTGCGGCTCACGAGTGCTGTAGCAGGAGGAGGAGGGTCGTGAGAATGAGAGAGCTGGCAGCAAGGGCAGTCATAGTTGGAGAGGAGGGATTTGTGAGTGAGGGGACTGCCTTGGGGGTTGAGGGTGTATGGAGGGTTTGTGTGTTTGTGTGTACGTTGAACTTCTTTCACACCGTACGTAGCCAGCCGTGGCTAATCGGCGGTGCGGGGGGAAGGACTGCAAAGTATGGAGCATCGACTGGGAGGGGAAACTTCTCAATTGGGCGAGAAGGAAAATGCATTGTCTAAAACAACAAATTATATATATATATATACATTTGTCAATGACACAGTGGCCTTAAACAAAAGCTACATAATAGGTGATCTTTCCAGCAAAGGCCATTCTTCGTGGCAGTGCCTCTCTGGCCTCTGTGCCATGAGCGAGGGCGGCGGCCCGAAACGTAACGCCTTACACACTTTTATGTTTAATGCCACGGTGTTATTATTGACGGATGTATCGAGTTGTTGTTGTTTGTACTTGTGCACCACTGCCAACGCAGCAGCAGCACTGCAGCAGCGGCGGCTACATCAGCAAATGATTTGTTCCACAAAATATAAAGCAAGTGTGTGCCACGTGTTTCGTCTGGTTTACAAGCGGGGTGAGTGATTTTGGAAGGGCGTTTATATTTTTACCCTAAACTAAATTGAAAACGAAACTTTTTAATTTGAACAGGTAAGGCACACTGAGCTGTTTCGCCCTTTTTTAGAAGCGACCTGGCCACAAACTGATAGCTCTGCGAAGTGGCTCATCACGTGGAAATGTTTTAGCGGCTAAACACTCTAAACACATGATTCTAAATGTAGAGGGAAAAACCGGAGGACCAGGAGAAAAATCCACGCGAGAACGGGGAGAGAGACACATGCAAACTCTAAATATACAGGGGTCAGGGCCAGGATCGAAACCACGCCCTCCTGTATACCAGGCGAGGTAGTTAACATCTCAGCACTGTGGTGGCGCCCTCCAAGCAAAATTTTACCAAAAAAATAAAATAACGTTTAACATCCAGATACACAGATACAAGGACAACGATCCCCCGTATAACCTACACAAGTGCTGTCAGTGTGCATCTATTCAGGCTAGGCATGGCGTACATGCAGGTGGTGTGGCAAGTACCACGAATATCTGAACCGGTCCTGGGACTCTCCTAGGTCGACTCAGCCTTAACTGAGTGAACTGGAGCACTGGGGAGACAACGGTGGCTGAGTGCTGGCCAAAAGCACCTTCATTGAGTGCCGTGTTGGCCTCCACCGGTGCTCGCTAACAGCGCTTGCCACTGGCGCTCCGTTATAGACTACGCCGGGGACTATTTGTCTAATCACGGATAAACACGCGCACACACACACACACAGTCCAGCCAACCCCGTTCTCTGTAAGTGTATCTCATGGCAAGCTGTTAGAGTTTGCCTTGCCATTCGCAGAGTAACGGGCTCCTCACGCGACGAGAAGGTGCTAAATGGAAACCAGGAATTTGTTGCCAATTCGAAATGAATAAACAAAAGAACAGCCCCGAGCGAGTGACTGCTCAAGTGAGCATTGGGGGCATTGGGTGCTCGCTCCCATGTTTGACACACCAGAACCCGTGGTGGACACTCCACCTTCCCGTGGGCAGGGTCACGTCCATTCGTAGGACAACCACTGTTTACTTCTCCGCAGAGTTTATTGACCCCAGAAGGGACGATGGGCTGAGTGCACCCGAAACTAAGATTCGAACTTGCAACCTTCCGCTCACTTCTACCGCTGAGCCATCTCGCTGGATGCATGCGCGCGTGTGTGTATGTGTATACTCGTCGACTCAGCCTCAAAGTGAGTACCCGATGCGGTGTGTAAACATCGACAACGGGGAACCAAAGGTGGCCGGGCGTGGTGCTGGCCACCAACCCCCTCGTGTGCCGTGCCGGCCTTCATAGGTGCTGCTCGCTAACAGCACTTGCCTCCAACAGTCTGTGAAGGCGACACGGGCGAGGGGGGGGGGGGGTCTTTCTCTTGATTTGTGAGTGTGTTTGAATAGGAGCGTTCGTTCACACTGCACTACGATACCCCGCGACCTGAGTTCAATTCCCGCTTAGGGTTAACATTTCAGTGAGAATTATCGTCACTGGTTGCCGTGAGCTACACTACCGCACCCCACCAAACTACTTCTCCCCACAGACACACTCCTTCCCCTGCACCACCGATTAGTGCAGTGCGATCCAAAAAAGCTCCACATACATACATACATGCACTCACATATAACGACAACTGCCGTTCGCCACTAAGTAGGCGGTGATGTCGCCACAGTGCTTGTGCCAGGCTAGGTGCACTTTGAGGCCACGTGAAGTGTCGAAGGATCGATGGCAGGTCACAGAACAGACCCAGGCACCATGGGTTGACTGACTGAGATGGCTGGCAGATGCACCATCTGTGCTCCCCACTGTGCCAACTTTATCTGACCGACACCCCTCTGCCCTCCATTATTGCCAAAGGACAACTGCCTCTAACTCCCCAGAAGCATCCTACACACAACAACCGCCGTTCGCCACTAAGTGGCGGTGACGTCACCACGACGCTTGTGCCAGGCTATGTGCACCTTGAGGCCAGGTACACACGCCCACACGCGTCGAACCGCGAGGGCGCGAGCGCCGCCGTGGCCGGCGAAGGACTCACTGCGGTGGCGCGCGTCGCTGTGCCGCTCGTCCCCGCGCTCCGTGCGGTAGTACTTCACCTCCCGCAGCACGGCCGCTCTCCCAGCCGGCACGGGGGCAGCACGGGGTCGGGGTGGTGCCGCCCGGGGCTGCACCCCCGTCTTCCCCGTCGTCTCCTTCCCCCGCTTCTCCTTCTCCCGCGCCACCTTCGCCGCGGCCTCCTGCTTCTTGGAGGCGGCCGCTGCCGCCGCCGCCACCGCCTTGCCGTGCGCCGGCTTGGAGGCCTCGGCCGCCTTAGCCGGGCCTGCCGTGTCCTGCGGGGAGGGCGGCGGCGTGCCGGGCGGAGGGAGGGAGTGACCGCGTTTCTTGTTAATAAAAAAAAAAGAGGCCATAAAAGCAACAACAAAAAATGATGAACGAAGCAAAGTGCCGAATGACAGAATTTTTTTTGGTTTCTTCTCATCGGAAGTCCGAAAAAAAAGAGGCAGGGAGGGAGGCGAGATGGGCCGCAGCGTTCGGTAAAGGGGGTGACGCAGCGGCGCCGTGGTTGGTCCACCGCGCGCCGTGAATCCAGAACCCCGGGTTCAATTCCCGGCCAAGGCCAACTTCAGCGGCCAGCGGCATCTGCACTGAACCCGGGCCTGCACCGACCGCCGTGCAGTTTGGCCAATCAACCACCGTGGCCATCATGGTCTGAATTACGATCCGACGGTGGAAGTACCGGGATACTCTCTTCCACGACTGGCTATGGACCACGCTGATGCGCGTGCACGTTCCGTAAATGGAAGATCAAAGAATCGCCCAAACCATCAAGCACATCACCGATGAATACTCCATCCACGCACATCCTGACGGTATCGCTGAAATCCACACTGCGTCAACCACATCATTGGACTGGATGAGGAACATTTGCATTCATTTATGACGATCATTAAGAAAAAAATGTAACTGTTGTTTTCACAATGGCATACGAAAGAAGAAGACCACCATCGTGCCACGTGGTGTGCGGCGGCCTTCACATCCAGCAGCGGACACGGAATCGAGCCGGCGACCTGGGAAGGTCTTGGAGTGCCCCAGGAGCCAGATGCCTAACCCCCCCCCACCACACCCCCCACTGCCGGCCCGTGCCTGGGCTCGGACGTCCTGGGTGCTCGCCGAGTCCTTCTGCAGCAGGGCCAGGCCGATGGACGAGATCTCCTTCTTGATGCCCAGGATGATGTCCGTGTAGTTCTCGTACTTGTGCATCTGCCCGTTGAGGCGCCCGATGCTCTCCTTGATCACCTCGTTCTCCCGCGTCAGGTTCACGTTCACGGCCTGCGGTCGCAGTTGGGGAGGGAGCGGGGGCGGCGGGGGGAGAGAGACCACGGGGAGTTGTGAACTCGTGGAGAAGCCATCCCAGGAGGGTTTTACCCCCCGGTGTTCCAACGACAGCCCTGAGGCAATGGTAAACTCCAACTCCACCTTTCCTTGAGAGGCAGCAGGTAGTACTTCTATTGGTTTTATTGCATCGGAATACTCCAGTGTGGTGCAGGGGGGGGGGGGTTAACACGTGAGAGGGTGGTTGATTAAGCGACGGGGTGGTTGACCGTGTGGTTAATTGAGTGAGTGGGTCGTTGAGTGAATGGGTGGTTGATTGAGTGGGTGAGTGGGTGGGTGGGTGGTTGATTGATTGAGTGGTTGAGTGAGTAAGTGAGTGGTTGATTAAGTGAATGGGTGGTTGAGTGAGTGCGTGGGTGGTTGAGTGGTTGAGTGAGTGAGTGACTGAGTGAGTGAAAAGTCCCCCACTGAGAAGCATCTGCGACTCTAAGACTGAACTGCACAGCCATCAACGGAAGCCGCCCCAACACGGCGAGCCAACGGAGACGGAGCAGCCGTCACCGAATATGAAGAGGGCAGCAACGAGGGTGAAGATGACCCCCTCTGGGTCAATATAAAATCATAGACGGTCACGATTTAGATGGAACAAAGACAAAAAAAAGTGCTCAGAGGGTCATGGAGAAGCTTTACCCTGTGAGACAACAAGAGGAACCCATGGATCAGACAACACAATACAAATCGGAGACATTAAAGCGAACCGCTGAATAAAGTGAGTGGCTGGGCCTGGGAAAGAGATTGCACTGGACGTCCAATGGGGGAGATGGAGCGGATTAAATCGGTTCAGGGGCGGCGTGGATTGTTACACCGCAGGAATCTTGAGAGATGGCGGTGCGGCTTGAGACCTTCATATAGCAGTGGATTCATCACGGCCGATAACTGTGCATGGCTAAAGTATTGTGGGCCTCCATCAGTGATGTCCAAGAAAATCTCATTTGAACTGCAGATGTTCGTACGGGGGCCTCACAATATGGTCATACACGTGGGGGTTGTAAATTCCTTACACTACAGCAGCCAGCCAATCCATCAAGTGCAGGTGATGGGTGGATCATAACATTACAGGGGCATCACGATGGCTACGAGATGTTAACTACCTCCCCTGGTATACAGGGAGTCGTGGGTTTGATCTCTGTAAATTTGGAGTTTGCAAGTTCTCCCCATGGTCACGTGGATGTTTCTCCGGGTCCTGCAGTTTTTTTTCTCCAAATGTACAGCAGCCAAATGTGGCTGCTATATATTTGCACACGATAAGCCACTTTGCTGAGCTATCATTTGTGATAGCCAGGTCGCTTCTGAAAAAGAGCTCCACAGCTCAGCGGGGCCTTCTCTGCTAAAATAAAAAAAATTACGACTTTAATAGTCTCACATCCGCGTGCATGTGACACGCGTGCCAATGTGCACGTGTGTGCGTGCGTGAGTGACGCGAGACACGAACCAGAATCGGTCACAGTGGTCGCCAGAGACACAGATCCACATTGCGCTCGTAAAAAAAAATGTAAGGGTCTGGAATAAATTTAAATTTTATTGCCTCGAAATCCCTGGGAATGTGGGGAGGGGGTGGGGTGCAGTCGAGTGGGGTGGGAGGCTAATTTGTTGAACTTCTTTCGCACCGTACGCAGCCAACCGTGCTAATAGAAGGTGTAGACGGACACCAAAATAAACATTAAAAGAAGTTATAAATAAATAAGTTTGTCAATCTAGATGATGATGATTTAAAAGTGCGCAGCTCCAGTGGCTTCCTGATATCGGAAGCAAGAGCGTTCCAGACGGCCGCAGACGCACATCTGAAATTGCGCGATGCGGTGACCGTCTTTGTTCGGTAGCTGGCAAAAAGCCGCCGCTGCGAGCGTGACCGGAGGTTCACGCGATGATGGTTCATGCTCCTTGTCGAGATCAGCAAGGTGTTGGGCTTCATTTGTGGCAAAGCACTTTGTGTGTCACGAGCGTACCCGTATCACGTAGTCGCTTATCGACTGGAAGCCAATGCAACTCGGCGAGCGCTGGACGGACACGGTCGGGGGATCTTTCAGCGCCCGTCACGACACGCGCCAGAGAATGTATCCACCTTCGCGACCTCTCGTAGAATCCCTCTGCCGCCAATTGCCGTCGGATCAGCCACCGTTATGTTGCGACGGCGGGACACGCCGGGAGCCTTGCAAATTGTGACTCGCGTCGTCGAAGGCAACGGTGGCGGACCAGGGAAAGCCTTCCCTTTGCTCTCGTAAAAAAAAAAAAACTGCTTTAAACAATAATCATCAAGTCGTGTTTATCTTTTCCCTAAACCCTAATATGGTTCTAAATCTCCCAAGAAGCTTTGTTTACGAGGACGCGAAAGAAAAGCCGAGCGCTCGGCACACGTGAGGGGGGTAGCGGCGGCGGTGGCGCCATGAACCCGCCGACCTCAGTTCCATTCCCTGCGAGGGCTACGCGTGACTGGCGGGTGACGTGAATTCATCCTGGGGGGGGGCTCTTCTTAATGAAACGAGGCGCGAAAGGCAGCGTGGAGAGACCCCGTGTGTGGAACGCATTGAGAGCCGGAGAGAGGAATACGCGCGGTAGAGAGCACGCGCAGGATGGAGATGGAATTCAAGTGAGTGGGCTTGGGCAGGGCGCGTCACGGCGGGCTGAGACGATGGTCGAGACCGGCGAAGGAGTCGCAGCCAAAGAACGGAACGCGTCTGAGAGGTACGTCCGCCGAAGGGAGATGGAGCGACAAAGTCGGCTCGTGTACAGGTGCCGGGTGGATCGTTACTTCGTAGAAGAGTTAGAGAGACGGTGCTGGCTTGGGAGAGGCCTTCATCCAGCAGTGATGAGGATGATGATAACGACGGCGATTACATAATTCATGTTTTTTTACGTTCCATGTAACCGCATCTCAACTGAAATGGGTCCGCTTCATTAGCCAACCACGTCAACCACACTCACACACACACACCCTCGCTGCAGGTAACGGCTCGTGTCGTGCGATGTGGTTTCGCAACAGATCGGCTCTTGTGCGGACGACGTGCCTTAGCACCGGTGGATGAGTGATATCTGAACCGGCACCTGGGTTCCCCCACCCCCCTTCACCAGCTGGGGCACTAACACACACACACGCGCGCGATGTGTCGTACAAACACAAAGATCCCCCGTGTAGCCTTAACAGACTGTTGGGGCAAGTGCTCTGAACGAGCAGCTCCTCTGAAAGCGGGACACGGCACACGAGGTGGTGGGTGTACAACACCACGTGTTGTACACCACGTGTTGTACACATCGCACCAGGTACTCATCCGAGACCTCGGGGAGGCCCAAGACCGGTTCGGATAATCATCGCCAGCGTTGGCCGTGAGCGGAAATCGAACCCGGGACGCCGGGTTGAGCCGCTACACGGCCGCTCACAGGGTGGCGTGCGGACACAAGGGTGTGTCGGAGCACGTGCGCGCACACACGCACGCACGCAGGGGTGCCAGGCCGCACGGTGCGTGCGGTGGAACACCACCACGTGGCGGAGGAGGGTGGGGGTCTGTCTCACCTCCTCCAGCTTGGTCATCTGCTGCGTGAGGCGCGTCACGAACGAGTGGATCTTGAGCAGGTCGACGCTGTACAGAGCCCCCTCCAGGATCTCCGACAGGGAGGACAGCTGCGGATTGAACGTTCCCCACGGGTTCGTTAAGTGCGCGTTGCCTCTTTAAAATGTATGGCTTTTTAAAACATCACTCGTTCGATGCCATGCACCATTTCTCTCTCCCCTATGCAGCTCAGTGGGCTCAGGGAGACCATAACCAGCAACACAAACAGACGAATATGTTACACTGGGATGTGCGAGAGATGAGCGTAAGGGGCCGTTCATAAATGACGTCACGCACCTGGGGGGAGGGGTGGGTCAGACATTTGTGACGATGTGTGACGAAGAGGGGGATGGTTTGAGAAATGTGACGTCATATCAAAATGCGCAACTTTAAAAAAATATAGACAACACGTTCTGCTTAATTAAATAGACGTTTTAATACATGTTTTCTTCTACAACATCAGAGTGCAGCGCCACATTAAATACGCACGACAATGACAATAGTTTAAAGCGATTTGAAGCATGTTTTATTTCTTTTGGGGTAGGGGTGGGGGGCAGAGCTTTGTGACGTCATATTTGAGGGGGGAGTCTGACTGAACCGTAGATCTCACGGCAAACCACAACCGACGGCGAGCCATTACTACAGCCCCCACGTGACTCCCGCCCGCACATCTTTACAAACCTGAAGACATCGCTGATCAACCCTCGAGTCACCTGATCATTCACAACCGGAGGCCGCACGCAACAACGCGACGATTGAGTCGTGTCGCGGTGGCGAGATGCTCACTACCTCGCCCGGTATACGGGAGACCGTGGGTTCGATCCTGGCCACTGACGGCTGTATATTTGGAGTTTGCGTGTCTCTCTCTCTTTCTCTCTCCCCGTGGTCGCGTGGATTTGCCTACCGGTTTCCTTTCGGTTTTTCCCTCCACATTTATCATTTAAAAAAACGCACGTGTAGAGTATTTGGACGCTTTACACATTTCCACGTGAGAAGCCGATTCGTTGGGCGATCACTTCTTGTCGCCAGCTCGCTCCTGAAAAAATAACTCCGAAGCTCAATTGGGCCCTGACCTGGTAAAACAATGTTTCGTGCAGCGAATCAGGGGGTGGGGGGGTGTGGGGGGGGTGCTCTCGTCCGGACCCCGCTCGCCACCGTTACCTTGGCGAGGTCAGGCGAGCGCGCCTTCAGGCGGTCGAACCTCCACTCGGCCTCGCAGGGGTTGAGCGAGGCGGGCGGCGCGGAGCAAGAGCAGCGGCAGTCGCTGCCTCCCGCCGTCACCGTCTCCACGGCGTACGAGTCGACGGGGCGGCCGCTGCCTCCTGCGGCGGCGGCGGCGCGCAGGCGCTCGCAAGCGCCGTGTCCCAGCGGACGCACCACGCACTTGCAGCGGCAGTTGCCGCCCTCGGCTTGCGCGCGCACGAGGTTCGGTTGCTCCGACATCAGCTGCACGTGGTGGGGATGGGGGGGCACATAGTGTGGGGGGGGGGGGCAGCGGTCGTTAGCATCTGAGGTCGTCGTTCAATGTCGAGAACTCCAAATGCACGGCTAGGCGTCGGGGTTTGGGATCGAACCCACGAAACCTCCTGCGTACCGGGCGAGGTTGTTAACATCTCCTAGCCACCGTGGCGCCAATTGAAGGCAACATCTCAGTCCACAGCGAGCGGGACACGCGGCGTGGCAAAGCATTGGCACGGGCGACACGTTAGTCCGTGTCCCGTGCATAGCCGCGGCCTTAGCTATGCAATACAGTGGTGTTTTGACAACCGCCAAAAATAAAACACGACCGTGCTACCTGCTGTAAATATTATGTCACCGGTACAGGTGCAGGCCTGCGCCTGGCAGTTCACCCGGGAACGCTTCCAAAGTGCTGCGAGGGGTATGGCATTTCACCCTCCGCATCGATTGTCAATGCATGCCCATAAGTGCCTCTGTTCCACTCACTTAGAAGGGCGCAAACACATACGTGCCAATATTTATGTGTCGGTGTTAAACAACTCAGTACTGCACTGAAATGAACATTTGTTCATTATTGTTATCATCATCGAGTACATGTGTGTTTTTTTTGTTTCACTTTAATTCTTATCTGCGATGCACTTGGTGTTTTTTTCATGCCTAGTGGCCCCTTGCCCAAACAACATCTGGCCTCGGAGCTGTGGCCAACTTCACCTGATTGAAAACAAAGAAGGCATTGCTAATTTCTTTCACTGCAATGGCAATGCTTTTCAGAATGATGACAAATCCATTGCTCAGGATTGTCAAGTACAGGGTTGTCACCTGCCCTGTTGTTCTCCGAATTATCTTTTTGTCGAGGTAACTGATGTGCTGGAATATCTGCAAATCCGCAGGTCATGGCTGCAGCGGTGGTGGTGGTGGTGGCTGTGGTGGTGGTTAAGATGATGGTGGTGATGGACGTGGGTGGCGGTTATAATGGTGGTAGTAGCAGTAGTGGTATTGGTGGTGAGACGATGATGAGGTAATGATGGTGGAATTGGTGGTGGGGTGATGATGATGATGACGGTAATGGTGGTGATATTGGTGGTGGATGATGGTGATGACGGTAATGATGGTGGTATTGGTGGTGGATGATGATGGTGATGATGGTGGTATTGGTAGTGGATGATGGTGGTGATGATGGTGGTATTGGTAGTGGATGATGATGGTGATGATGATGGTGGTATTGGTGGTGGATTATGATGGTGATGATGGTGGTATTGGTAGTGGATGATGATGGTGATGATGGTGGTATTGGTAGTGGATGATGATGGTGATGATGATGGTGGTATTGGTGGTGGATGATGATGGTGATGATGGTGGTATTGGTAGTGGATGATGATGGTGATGATGGTGGTATTGGTGGATGATGGTGGTGATGATGGTGGTATTGGTGGATGATGGTGGTGGTGATGGTGGTATTGGTGGATGATGGTGGTGATGATGGTGGTATTGGTAGTGGATGATGGTGGTGATGATGGTGGTATTGGTGGATGATGGTGGTGATGATGGTGGTATTGGTGGATGATGGTGGTGATGATGGTGGTATTGGTAGTGGATGATGGTGGTGATGATGGTGGTTTTGGTAGTGGATGATGATGGTGATGATGATGGTGGTATTGGTGGTGGATGATGATGGTGATGATGGTGGTATTGGTAGTGGATGATGATGGTGATGATGATGGTGGTATTGGTGGTGGATGATGATGGTGATGATGGTGGTATTGGTAGTGGATGATGGTGGTGATGATGGTGGTATTGGTGGATGATGGTGGTGATGATGATGGTATTGGTGGTGGATGATGATGGTGATGATGGTGGTATTGGTGGATGATGGTGGTGATGATGGTGGTATTGGTGGATGGTGGTGGTGGTGGCATTGGTGGTAGTGGTGGACAGTAGGTAGCGTTTCATCTCGTGGTGGGGAGAGGGATGAGTTGAACCCTGACTGGGTGGAGCCCTGGGTGAGTGTTTGAGTCCGTGGGGGTTGTGTTTAAGCAGTGTGGCCCTGTGCCCTGGTTGTGTGTATTTTGTCACGAGTGTGTGTGCTCAATTCCGCACTTCAAAAAACCGTTTCAACGACTGCGTCTGCATGCGAACTCCTCAAAGCGAGAGTTTATTTCTTGTTTCATGTTCCACAACGGCGTACAGAAGATAGCACCGCGTGTACACACAGCTCGTTTCGTCAGAGAGCGTGCAACTTTCGGGATGTGTTCCTGATTTTCAGATTCATCAGAAAATTTTTTAAATCAGGCCTAAACACGAAAGTTTGGACGATGTGTTAAAGAAAAAAAAAACACACACATTTTGTTTTTATTTATCCGACAACTGACAGTGAAATCGCTAATATGAGAAAAATAACCTCAACACATTCATCATTAGCACCGTGGCTATAATCGCCAACGTTTCGGGCAATGTCCCTTCTTTATTCCGAAATGTTGCCTATTTTACATTGTTTGATTTTAAGGCCAAAGACGAAGAGATCCCCCGTATAGCCCCAACAGACTCTGGGCATGTCCTGTCAGCGACGGCACACGATGTTTACGCACCGCACCAGGCACTCATTTGAGGCTGAGTCAACCTAGGGGAGGCCCAGGACCGGATCATCCGTGTCCTTTCACAGTTTCACCCAGTCCCCTGCATAGCGCGGCCTAAGCTATACAACACCGTCGTGTTTTTACAACCTAAACAAGTATAACCCGTAAAAACAAAGTTTTTCACTATAAATCCTTTATATGCGTGGCGGCTAGAGTCCTCTCGTCCTCTGGCTTGAGATGGCTGCCACCTATGGGTCAGATGATTGTGTGCCAGTATTAAGCAATTGGTAATTAATAATTTAATTTGTTTTCCCTAAACAGTGTAAAATTTTGGAGAAAAAAAAATTCACGAACATTAATTGTCTCGCACAACGAGTCTGTGTGCAAAATGTCAGCTCGATTGGATCACGGGAAGTGGGTTAAAAAACGACCGAAAGATTTGCACGGTCGTAAGCAAGCAAGCAAGCACGCAAGCGAACTTAATATAAAGGATTTAAAAAACGACCGTGGGGGGGGGGCACACAATGTGGGGGGGGGGGGGGGGGGGGCAGCGGTCGTTAGCATCTGAGGTCAACGGCGTCCAATGTCGAGAACTCCAAATGCACGACTAGACGTCGGGGTTAGGGATTGAACCCACGAAACCTCCTGCGTACCGGGCGAGGTTGTTGACATCTCCTAGCCACCGTGGCGCCAATTGAAGCCAACACCTCAGTCCACAGCGGGCGGGACACGCGGCGTGGCAAATCATTGGCGCGGGCAGCACATTTGTCCGTTTCCTTTCACAGTTTCGCCAAGTCCCCGTGCATAGCCACGGCCTTAGCTATGCAATACAGTGGTGTTTTGACAACCGCCAAAAATGAAAACACGACAGTGCTACCTGCTGTAAATATTACGTCACCGGTACAGGTGCAGGCCTGTGCCTGGCAGTTCACCCGGGAACGCTTCCAAAGTGCTGCGAGGGAAATGGCATTTTGGCCTCCGCATCGATTGTCAATGCACGCCCAAGAGTGCCTCTGTTCCACTCGTTTAGATGGGGCGCAAACACGTACGTGCCCATATTTACGTGGAAGTGTTAAATAATATAATACTGCACTAGAAAGCACATTTGTTCATTATTACTGTTATTATAGAATACATGTTTTTTTTGTTTCACTTCATGTCTCGAGGCTCCTTGACCAAAGAGCATCTGGCCTAGGAGCTGTGGCCAACTTCACCCGCAACAGGAATAGAACTCAGGCTGCCGGGTTCGTAGCGCAGCGCTAACCGCTGCACCACCGCTCCCCACACACGCGGTGTTCTTGACGCGTCAGCAGCAACGTCGCCCAAAAATAGTCTCCCAAAACGAGGTCATGTCCACGCATTTCCTGCGAACAATGGCGTCGGCTGACGTCACTATAGTTAACACGAAGACGCAGAGTGGGAATTACAGTATTTGAAAGTCTGAAGAAGGGAAACAACATATATCCGAAATTGCCCCCTTAAAAATCCTAAATCTGAAACGTCATCATCCAAAAACTCATCCCTATGCATTCGTATAACTTATGGAGAGCCCTTGGTTTGATTGGCTCGAAACTGATGCAGTCATCCAATCTCTCAGCAGCGAAGGCCTCAAATAAAAACTGTGTCAAGTGCATCCAAATAAGTAATATTAAAAAATACTTTTTTTAAATACGCTTTAATGAAATGTACCGCACTAGTGATGGAAGAACTTCACGACTCGAGGAAGTGGCCCTGAAGCTTGCCATAACGTAAGGGACCGTGGTGATTTACAGCCAACGTCAGTTGAGCGTGGACAATTAGACCCAAGCCGAAACATAACATATAAAAATGAATGTTTAAAAATACTTTTTAACATTTTTTGGGATAGAATATAGTATTGTCATCAGTATGACATAAGTGTACCAAGTTTGCAGTCGATACCACATTGGGAAGTGTGTTAAAATTGAGTTACAAGATTTGAGGATACGACATCAACAAACAAAGTGAGTTCATAGAAAGCGTGTAAAAGATCGTTGAATTTTTTATCATTATTAAATATAGTATTGTCATCAATATGACATAAGTATACTAAGTTTGCAGTCGATACCACATTGGGAAGTGGGTTCAAATTGAGTTACAAGATTTGAGGATACGACAACGACGACAACAACAATAGACAGAGTGAGTTAAATAAAAGCGTGTAAAAAGAGGGGACTGCTACTAGCTGCTGCTGACATTTCATGCAGAGCGGGCAAATACAGGGGTAGAGACAATCGCTCTCACCAAGGCCACTCTCAACAACAATCGAGGATATTTTTCCCAAATTTTTTTTTTACAAATCCACGAACACAAATTAAAACTTCACGGAGGCAAAATGCTGTAATGCGAAACAAACTCGCCCGCGGTGCGCGCCGTGCCCCTGCACAAGCGGCGCAT